CCCTATCAATAATTTCCAATCCCCTATTTACAGATCTAATTTGGTACAATCGAATTAAAATTAATTTCACAACATTTAATCTCCTAGACACCATTCTTTTGAGACTAGAAAGTCACTAATTCCTTAATAAAGATTATTGCCTATACATCGAACTTCAGTTAACAATATAAGTGGAAGAAGTGTAAGGGATGATGATATGAGTTTGTTCTATTATAAAATGGGAGGAGCTGAAATTGTAGATTAACTTAATGAGGAATTTCATAATTATTCAATTTAACATTAGATGATATAAAGTATTTATTGAAAATATAAATAGAGATTGATGATTTAGAAAGATATAAATAAAGATTTAAGACCTTTTTAGAATACATAATGGGAAAACCTATATTTTATAATCTAGAATAATTGAAAGAAAAACATAAAGATTTAGGACTTAAAAATAAAGATTTCAATTAATTTAAAAACTATTTGATTGTAATAATAAAAATCATATTATTTAGACATGTTTCTTAAAAGTTAATAAAGGACAATTAGATTTTGTATTTGAATTTAGTTCTATGATAGAACAATATCGTTATTGTATTATTAATAGTGATACTCCATTTGCTATAATTTACAATCAGAGAACTGAAAAATTAAATACAAAAGATGTTCCTGATGCCATATTGTCATTAGCATAGAGTAGTTACCAAAAGATTTTTCAAGATAATTCACTAGCACCATATTTTATAGGAATAGAAATTAAATAATAAGCAAGGAAATTAGGTAAAATCTTATCCCAATTAATGGCTTGGGAACAAACCAATGATTAGGTCTTAATTGAGATGAGATAATCCCATAAAGGTATGCATTTAACAAATGTTCATTTTACTTTATTTAAATAACATTTGATTGAATCTATGCGTTAATTAAATATACAAGAAAAATAAATAGAATTAGTTACATCTAGGATGGATGGTTATCGAAGCTATATCATTAATTAAGACTCTTTGCTTGATTATTATGGAGAGTAATCTTCATTTTTGTAAGTATAATAGAAGAAATATGTTTAATTATTAAAAAGAGATGTTCGAATGTAAAATTATCCAATATATGCAATTGAAAGACATTCTTAATTTATTTTGAAATATCTTACTCATTAACATTTACCAACTCTAACAAAAAATGATTTATGGACTATTCATTCCAAATATAATATTTCTATTGAATGGATTGATTCTTTTCGTGATAACTTTTTTCATCTTATTAAAAGTCTAAATTTAAATGATTTGATTATATAAGATTATGAAGATATATGGTATAAACTAAGAAAAAATCTAACTTAATATCATTCTATTGAAAGTAGAATAGGTAAAAAGAAAGTTGATCTTGTAATTGCTAAAGTTTAAATAAAATTATAAGATAATGAAAATTATACAGAATATTTTAAGAATGCCAATTACTAAATGAATTTGCATCTTCAGAGAATAATTGCTTTTATATTAACAGATATACATATTTATAACTCAAATGATTTAAAGGTAATTCATCAATCGTTGAAAATTAGAGAAAGTACATTTAATTTATTTGTTTAATTCCTTAAAAATGCTATGTAAGAAGAAGCCATAAGTTCTAGTCTAATTGCTTAGGCAGAATAAATATGTAATTATTATAAAAAGTGTGTATGTACTTGATTGCTATTAACTTACACCTAAATGATTATTTTCGTTTTATTTCGTAAAGATAAAATATAATTTTCTAGAATATTGAATATCATAAACAAATTATTAATATCAAATTATTATTCATTGGTTCGAAGATTCTACAAACCATTGTTTTCCATAGATCTTTTCAACCCAATCAGTAAATGTTTCAGGATCTTTGCACAAATTTGTTTTTTGAGATTATTACTTCACTTCCTCCTCTATTTATATTGTTGACATCCTGTTGATTTTATTTGGGATGACTCGATTTCCAAATTCATTTGTTTTTTTCTTTCCTAATTATAAAGGAATAGATTCCTGACTTACTGACTATTAATTTTATTTACTATTTCTGCTTGAGATAAAAAATTTTCTATTTTTTATCAAAACATTAAGACTCTTTAATTTATTAATTGTTAAACACTTAGAATTCAATTCTTAACAATCAATTGAATTTTTTCCATGAAAATAGTTGCTACTATTTTTAAGGTTGATTTGTCCTTTTATTGGACTTATTAATGAAGTTTTACGGCTAATTACTTCAAAATCTTCCTTTGTTTTTTATTTTTTCACAATACTAATTTAAGATGAAATCATGTTTCTATGAGGTTGTATTGATTTATTGATCATTCAAAAACTTTTAATAAAAATTATTATAATGTTTAATTAACTAAATCTTATTTTAGATGACATCATAATAATTATTATTTATGTCTCAAAAATTAATCGTTTTATTATAAAAAATAATATATTGATTATTAAGAACAGATAATAATAATCAAACAACTAAAATATACTTATTTTATTATTTAAAATAAGATGATCAGTGGACTTTTTAATTTATTAAATGTCATACATAAGCCAAAAATAATTTCAAGATCTTTAAATTGAATTAGAAGGAGAAAGAATAATATAAAGGTATTTTAAAAGCAAAATTCAAACAAAGTACATTATGTTAGTTTTACAAAGTCATTTGAAATTATAAATAATAAATAATAAAATATATATATAAATATATATAAACTAATAATTTTACCTATAGGATTATTTCTAATTTATATTTTATTTAATATACATGAGAGTAATTTGTTAATAATATATAATTGATTGTATTAAAATTTATTTAACTCTTTGATATAAATATATATTTCGAATAATTAAATGTCAGATAGTGAAACTGAATAATAAAGAAAGGTTGTTCTCCCTTAAATAATAATGAATGTTTATGACACTCAATATTAAGTGGTTCGTTATGTGGGATAAGAAATACTCAAATGGAAATTGATTGCTGAACCAGAATCATGGGATTGGGATGTTTATTGGACTGATTCAGGAGTTCATGCAGAAATGTTGAGCAAAATGAAATGTACAATTTAAATTAATAATGTTTTAGAGCATTAAAAAGTTAATCATTTTCCTGGGATGTACATATTGGCTCGAAAAAATAATTTAGGAAAATAATTAACTAAGATGCGTCGACGATTTCCTAAAGAATTCAAATTCTTTCCTTTTACTTGGATGTTACCTTCTGATGCTTAAGATTTAAAGGAATATATGAAAGGAAAGGGAAGAGATGAAACTTTAATAGTGAAACCTGAAGCTTCTTGTTAAGGTAGAGGTAAGAATTGATTTGTTAAAGTTAAGGTATTTTCTTAACTAAATCTCTTGACTTTATTAGTCTAACAGAGAGATATGTAGTGTAAAAGTATTTGGGTGATCCTTTTTTAATTGACGGTTTGAAATTTGATTTTAGAATATATGTACTTGTTGCAGGATGTGATCCTTTGAGAATATTCATATATACTGAAGGATTGGCTAGATTTGCAACTGAAAAATACTTGCCTCCTCATCCTACTAATTTTGATGATCTTTGTATGCACTTGACTAATTATGCTATTAATAAAAATAATGAAAATTTTGTATTTAATGAAGATGTTTAAAGAATGGATGTTGGACATAAGAGAAGTATGTCAAGTGTTTTTGAAAAATTAAAATAGGAAGGTAGAGATATTGATTAATTATGGATGGATATTAAATAAATAATAATAAAAACTCTATGTTCTGCTTAACCTTTTCTTAAACATTAATATACTACTAGTCAACCAAATAATCCTATGAATAATATGTGTTTTGAAATATTAGGATTTGATATAATTTTAGATAGTTCATTTAAGTAAATAATAATGAATAATTTTTAGACCTATTTTATTAGAAATTAATCATAGTCCTTCATTTACTACTGATTCTCCTTTAGATTAATATATCAAGGCAAATTTGATTGAAGACACATTAGTATTGATGAATGTAAATAGGGAAGAGAAGTATAGATTAATGTATGTTTATATTCTTATTAAGATAGGAGAAGCACCAAGAAATGCAAAAACGTATTTTAACAGGAAGAAATATTAGAATGACTTACGAGGATAGAAAGGCAATTGTTGAGTAATATCAAATGATTAGAGATGCTTATGAAGATGAACATCTTGGTGGATTCGAAAAGATATATCCATGTGATGAGGAATATGAGACAGATTATTATACATAATTTTTGACATATGCTAGTGATATTTTTGAAGAATCAACAGGTTATTGTTGAACATTTATATAGGTACGAAAAAGGTTTAATTACCTCCAAATAGAAAAATAACAGGAAGTCCATAAAAATCAATTAAACATGATGCTGCTAAAATTTATGCATAACCTTTGAGAGTAGTTGTTTAATCATAATAACTTCAATCAAGGAAAACTAAATAACATACTTTATTATACAAATCTATGATATAATAATAGATTTAATAAGAATAACGAAAAATTTAGATAATGATGAAATAGAGGGAATAACTTCAATAAAAATAAAAATATATTTAATGAATATTAAATTTTAATTCATCTTTATTTTTCATTTTCTTCATCTGAAAATCCTAAATCATTCATCAATTCTGTAACACTCTTTTCAATATCATCAATTCTCTTTCCTTTTTTAATTCATCATTTATAACAATTACCCATATCATCAATTCTTGATACTATAGTCCCTTACATTTCATCAAAACGTTCTGACATTTATTTCAATAATGTTTAAACAAAATTATTAAGTTCCTTTGTTGTTGGATCCTCACTCGACATATTTGAAAATAATATAATTATTTATTAATAATAATAATTGAGTGAAGAATTTATAAGTCAAGATGATGATAGTAATTCCTATAATTCAGATTATCTAGTCTTTAAAATAGATCAGATCTCAGTAAATTCTGATAATTAAAAAGCTATTTAATATTTTAAGAGTGTTAGAGATGATGCAAAATAAGTACCAAAATGCACTTATTATTAAAAAGAAGAAATTTTCAATTAAAAAAAACAGATCCAAAATATTTAATATAGCTTAAGGGTTTTTAACTAAATGGAAAATGGATTATGAATTTATTGTGGCATGAGGATGTCATAGAATAATACTTCAGTTTGAAAAAAGTTTAAATTTTCCTTCTATTTTAGAATATTGAATAATTTAGAAAATTATAATTTAGAACAAGAAGAGTAAATTAAATCTTGTTTAAAAATGTAATGTTAATTTAAGGAATTATCAAATGATGTTATTCTAACTCTTTTCACATTCTATGCATTAGATTATGAAATAGCATAAAAAATCATCAAGAGGTTTAATTTGCCTTAAAAATTTTATTAAAATTAATATTTATGGATCTATTGTGTTTTAACCCAATTAGAGGATCTATTAAACAGTGATATATGTTATTAATATTAATAAATTCTTTAAAATTGTTATTTTGTCAAAAATTGTATGACAAGTATTATGATAACAATAATATAAATAATTTTCAAGTAAAAATATGCTGACTGAATTTAAATCCTTCTTTGATAATCTCGAAGTTCTTCATAAAATCAAACATATATGGTCTAAGTTTTAGCCAGCAGTATATGAAGTAAATAAAAATGTAAACAACCTAGAATGATTCAATTATTTATGAATCCGTATGTCATAAAATAAGTAGAAAAAGAAAATAGCTCAAACCAATCTTAATTCAATTAGGATAAGAATAGATGTATCTTTTTAAAAATAAAAATCCACATGGAATGCTTCAGTTAACAGTAGTTATCATGAGCACATAAAAAACTGATTATGGAATAGCATTAAGATTGTTAAGAAATGGATAATATATTGATATAATTACATAGGATATTAATATTCTCAAGTAATTATTGTAGTACAAATGTTTACAAACTACATTTCATGATGAATTTAGTGTTTCCAAATTAATAGGCAAAGGAAGTTTTGCAAAAGTTTACCTAGCATCTAAGAAATCTTCTGGAATCTAATATGCAATAAAAGCATTCAATAAAGAATTCATGTTTGAATAATTCAAAGGCATAGAAAGTTTAGAAAATGAGATCAAGGTCATGCGTAGATTAAATCAAGAAAATCTTGTACATTTACATGAAGCTTATGAAACATAAAATTCAATCTATTTTGTTCTAGATTTATTATAAGGAGGTGAATTATTAGTTAGAGCTAAGACTAATCCATTTTCAAGTGAATGTTTATAATAATTAATGTACAATTTTATTAAGGCACTTGTACATATACATAATAAGAAGTGTATTCATAGAGATTTAAAACCAGAAAACTTATTGTTAAAAACTAAAGAATCATCTACTGATGTTGTAATTGCTGATTTTGGATTAGCAACTTTTCTAAATGAATAAATTATTTTTAAAAGATGTGGAACTCCTGGATTTGTTGCACCTGAAATCTTAATATATAAAGAAGATGATCCATTTTATGATGATAAATGTGATATATTTAGTGCTGGTGTTATATTCTATATATTACTTACTGGCAAACAACCATTTTAAGGATCTGATTATAAAGTAATATTAAGATCAAATAAAAATTGTGAAATTAATTTCAATTTAAAGTAAATATAATAGGTACATTAAACATTTATAAATTTAGTCTTCACAAAAATTATAAGATTTACTAAGAAAAATGCTTCAGTAAAATCCTAAAGATAGACCTAATGCTGAAACATGTTTATAGCATCCCTATTTCAAAGAGATATTTAATAAAAAAGACTTAATTGAAATTTATGAAAATCTAATTGAATATGAAATTGAAAATTAACATAGATTATAAAAAATAGGTAGTTTTGATAGTTAAATTGGTTCAATGGAACTAATTAGTAGATCTCCTATTCTCAATGGTCTCATTGATACAATTGGATCATTGTCAAATGGTTCAGTTTTAGGATCATCAAGTCGTTTAGAAAAGCCACAACCACAACAATAACAATAACAATAATAATCTAAATTTAGTTAATTTTGTTAAAATATGAAGAATGTTCAACAAGATTCTAATTTTAATTCTCAAGCCTCTCCTTAGAATAAAAGAAAAGACTCATAGGATCTTCATAAATTTGCATTGAAAAATTCTTATTAGAAAAAACAATAAAGCAAAGATGATGATTATGTAAATGAAGAATCAGCAAATTTAGAAGATGCCATTTAAAAATTAAATTCTTAAACACCTAAAATTGGTATATTTAAAAAGAGTGCTTCCTGTAAGATACCAAAAACAATAAAGGAATGATATATTTCAATTAACAAATTACCAATTCCCTGTAGAATCTAATAAATCTATTTCGATCCCATCCCCAAATCCTATATAACCAAGATCAGTAAAAGATCTATCTATTTCTTTTCTATCTACAAATCTTGGTTTAATATAATTTTGACGTCTGGTGCATAAAGGTAGTATTACTCTAGGTGATTCACTTCTATCAGCATATTCTTCTTCACTTTCTACTTCCTAACTGGTTATTTTTTAATTTACCTTTTTAAATTCAACTAATCCTCTTTTATCTTTGTATTCTTTGTATTATTATTCATTCATTTTAACTCCTTCACTTTCACTCTTTAACCAAGAATGATTTAAAGATTAAGATGCAGTTGCTCTTTTCTCTGGATAAGGATTTAACATAGGTTCTAAAAAAGAAGCTAAATTATTTAATTTATTTTATTACCTAATTCTTTAGCTTCTTTTGGAATATACTTATACTTTTCTATTAAAACATTTGTTAATGACCAACAATTTAGAATTGGAATTCTTAAAAGATTACCCTCTTTATTAAAATATCTCTTAGATTTTAAGCCTCTTTAAGAAAATTATAATGGGAATTTGCCTGTTAATTCTTGAATTTAAGCTAAATGATCATCATTTTTAGAAAAATTTGCACCTTTTCTAGGTTCAAACAAAAAGTCACCAGTTAATAGTTCAAATAACATGCAAGCAAAACTCCATAAATCAGCTGTGGCATTATATCTTGTTCCAATTAGAACTTCTGGAGATCTATATTATCTAGTTTAAATTAAAGTAGAAAATTAATGATGTGTCCAACAAGCATTACCTAAATCCGCTACTTTAACTGAAAAATCATTCTTTTGTATTTATTTAAATAAAGATTTTTTATTAATTTAAAATAAATTATTATTAGTAACCTTATGATTCTCTTATTAATTTTAATGTTAATATATTATTTCTTCAGTATTTTCAGAAATTTGTTAATTTTCTTTAATATCTTATTATTTTTATAATTTCTATTATTTTTTCTTTTATCTTCTCTATAAATTTCTTAATTGATTTTTTGTTAATTATTATTATTATTATTGATCAGAATTAATCCTTTCAGTAGTTTTAATTGATTCAGTCTTAATTAATTATAAATTATCTTCTATTTTTACTGTCTCTTCTATTTTAATATCAAATAGCTAATGATAAAATTCCAAACGCTCTTTGAATATCTAATTACTTGTTAATTAACCATTTTCTATAATATCTTTAATTTCTTCTTAAGACAATTAAAGTAATACATTTTCAGGTTTTAAATCTGTATGAATAACTCCACATTATTCATGTAAGAAATCTAAACCAATCAATACTTCTTTTGCTATTTTTCTGCATAATTTCATTGGAACACCTTTATATTCAAATCTCTTAATTATTTCCAAAAGATTAACTCCCAATATTTCAAAAACCATACAAAAATGACATCCATAAGGTCCTCTATAAACAAAGGAATTTAATAATTGCACTACATGACTATCATCTCTATTCAATCTTTAATTAGGTTTATATTATTTAAGTTTTTCAAGCCATTTTTGATTTGTAACATTCTAAGCTACTTTTTATAATATTTCCACTTCATCATAAGCAGCCTCCAAATAATTTTCTGCAGATTTCTATACTTTTATTGCAACATATGTGTCAAATTTAAAATCTTTGCATAACCATACAGTTGAGAAATGACCCCAACCTAGTTTTTAAATTATAACATATCTATTTTATAGTACTTCTCCAACATGTACAGGATGATAACCTCCAATTTTATAATCTTCTATTCCTTCATCTTCAGAATCATGTTCATCATCTAATTAATGAAATAATTCCATTTTTTTAGGTTTATAAATTGATGGAGTCATGTATTGAGAAGTAGCCATTTAATAAACTGGTTGAAGCACTTATGATTCAATCAAATTTGAATCTTGTAAGACTTAATAATAAGATTTAGACATCACTGTAGATTAAAATAGATCACTAGAATAGATGTTTTCATTGTTCATTTTTGAATTTAAATATATTAATTATTAATTGTTGCTGTTATTTTTGCATTCAAATTTTTAATAAAAAAATGTAATAGACTAAATAAGAAAAATAAATTATTATTTTCTATAAAACTTTTGATTAATATAAATTCAAAATTATTTTAGATAGTTAAATCTATTGTAAATGGATAATAATAAAAAAATTCTATTTCATTTATGATCTCTATCTTTATTATTTAAATGAAAATAAATAATACATAAATTGTATCAATTTGTTAATTTTAACATTAGAAATTAGAATAGATTAAGTAGAAAGTAAATGTAATTGCTTTATGAGTGCATTATAATAGAATAACCAAAAAAATGAGATACTTCGAAATTATAATTATTTATATAATCACAATATTCATATTTTATTTTTTTATCCTCTTCTATAAAAGGTTTTCATCCTACTTATCCTTCTATTAACAACTCTATATTCTCGATTTGCAAAGTTCTTCAAAATATTTAAGACATTTTCATCTATATGATAATATTATAAATTTGCATTTTTATCAAAATTATCCAAACTTTCTTTCTTAATTTTCAAAAATTCTGAATACAAGTCACTTATAACTTAAGGTATTCTTTCTAATTTTAAAAGACGACCTTAATTTACTAATTATTTCATTTTTGAAATTCTAAATTAATCTGCTATATTTTTTTATTTCTTTTTTTTTAAAGAATCCATAGAAATATCATCATTTACAGTAGGTAAACCAAGTTCTGAAATATAATTAGAATTAATTTAATCTTATTACAGTAATCCATTCTCTAATTGTAAATCAAGAGCACATTCAATTTTTTATACCATATTAGAATAACTATTTTTTGATTTCTTTTTTCTCCTAACATGTAAATGATGTCTAACTTGATTTATATTTGATCCCTTATCTAATGCAATTTTACCTCTACTTGGACTGTAAAATACAACAGGACAATCCATTAAGTTATGACTTCTCAAACACACTTGACATTATATAGGACAGAGATCAAATTATAAATCATCTCTTAATAAACAATATTATTCATAATTACTAGATTACCTTTTTACTACTTCAATGAAATCTTCATGTGTTATATAAGCAATTTCAGAAAATTTAGTTGCTTTGGTTGTATAATGTACAGTATTACTTAAAAAGAATTCTCTAATTCCAAAAGAACCTTGTTTTTACTTTCTAATAGAGACTTTATTAATAAGTGATTCAATTTCACCTCTAAGTAGAAACATTGCTTTAGGTACAAAGTCTCCTTATTAAAATATAATTTATCCAGGGATATATTTTTATGTTTTAACTACTCTACTTAATTAGATCAAGAGAGAATCATTGAATCTATTAATTAATTGACACTATTTCAATTTTGGAATATAGATACTGGCTTTTAATTCTAATTTTAGATCTTCATTTAGATGGTCCATTAAAATATCTTAAGTTTCATCAAGAGTGAAGAAATATTCAAAATATTTTCTAATTTTCATTTAAAGAATTGGATTAATTTTATTCTTTTTTAAATATGAATTTACAATTGCCATATTATTACGATGTTAATCAGTCTTTTCTCTCAATTATCCAAATATTTATTAAATTGCTGATATTGTATATCCAAATATTAATGATGTAATTAAAACAGTTAAGATAACAAACATTTATTCAAATTAATTTTATGGAACAATATCTCCATATCCTATTGTGAATGCTGTGATAGTTCCAAAATATAATGAAGCAATATATCTTATAACCCAATCTTTTTCAGCATAACCATATCTTGTTAACCAGCAATTTTCTGAATTTTATTAAAATTCTATTTAACCTACAAAATGCCAAGCACAACCAAGCATATGGGAAACCAAAATTAAGAAATACAAAAGTTTACATATATCTATTGGTGCTGCAAATTTCTCTCTTATTAATGATATTTCTTCAATTTATTCAAAGATTTTCTTCACTCTTGTAATTCTTAATAAAAAAATAAAATTTATATATGGAATCTTATATTATGATATTAAAAAAGGTATGACTACTATTAAATCATAAAAAAAATCTCCTTAAAAATAATGTTTAAATATTTTCTATCTGCTATCATGTATCATGCCTTTTGAATAATAGGCTGTATTAAATTTAAGAATTATTTCTAATAGGAAAATCCTTAATATTAATTAATAAATACCCAACTAGGTAATGTACTAAATAGAAAGTCTATGACAGTATTATCCTCATTTAATTAAAATGATAATTGCATTGGGATGTAGAATATATTAATGATGATAAGAACAAGGATAATTAAATCCATAATTAATTTAAATTTACTATCTGGTTTGATTACACTGAATTCTAATGATGGCATTTTATTGACTATCATAGAAGTTAAAAAATTAAGAAATGTATATGGTACTTTAACTAATCCTTTCTTTTAATAATACATAAAATCTGAAGCATTGTCACCTATAATATTGTGTATACGTTGAGTAATTAATTTAAATCTATATTATTCAGCAGCCTATTTCAATTTGATTATAAATTTGGTAATGTGAACAAATATCTATAATGAATTCTCCTTCCAAGGTTATGTGAAACCCATAATTAAAGAAGGTTCAGGTGAATCTCTTGAATTAGAAGGATGGAATGGTTTTATTAAAGAGAAATGCTTTTTACGTCTATCAGTAGATGCACCCGTTAATAAAATATGTTCAATATTCATTTATTATTAAATATTGTTTTAAAATGTGAATTATTCATTTAATTAGGATGTGTATTTTAAATTATATTTATTGCATGAGTCATTTTGGTCTTTCCTAATCTAGTTTTACTATAAAATTGTTCTCTAGGTTTATTATGTTATTATTTTTAGAAATTAGTGAGAACTTTACTAATATTTTTATCTTTATGAAAATGAGAGAATTCAACATGTTAATCAAATTGATTTAAATCCTCTTTTTTAAATTAAATAAATTCTTAATGAAGACTTTCTAATTATGATTCTTAATATTTAGATTGAGATTTATCTTCTTTTTTAATAAGACTTTTATAAACAAATCTTTTCATTCTTGGAGTATCTCCATTATTATTACTATTTAATTATAATTTTTGAATAACTTTAAGTGATTTTAATTTATCATCTTCTAAAGTTTATTATTTAGTTTAATAATCTATATATCCATATCTTTTCAAAATAGATTCATTCATTCCTTCACTCAATGTTTCATTATCACACATATAATCAATTGCTGAAGTTATAATATGTTATAAATTTTCAAAGGTTCTTCTTTTTTTCTTTTATTTTCTTTTATTTTAATAACGAGGTTATATAATTGAATCACTATAATCACAAGCAATTTTAGATGTTGATGGACTATAAAATACTACTGGACATCTATTAAAATGATGAGAATGAGAACATATTTCACATTAAGTTTAAACAGTTGAATAGAGTAAATCATCTTTCATTTAACAATACTATTCTTGATTTGATTATTTTTCACGTATGATACGATAGAAATCCTAAATTGAAATTAATAATTTAATACATCATAACGAATATATGCAATCTCTGTAAATTAAGTTGCTCTAGTGGCATAATGTATACGTTTTTAAAGAAAAAACTCTCGAATTCCCAAAGATCCTTCTGATTGTTATTTAATTGAGACTTTATTAATTTATATATCTACTTCTCCCTAAATAATGAAGTATGCTTTATTCATTTAATCATTTTCTTGAAATATAATTTGTCCAGGAATGAATTTCTAGGTCTAAACAATAGTACAAAGTTGATTCAATAAACTTTCATCAAATTTTTAAAATAATTTACATTTTATCATAATAGGTATAAATATACTAGTTCTTAATTCTAATTTCAAATCATCATTAAGATTATCCATTAATAATTCTGGACTTTCATCTAAAGTGAAAAAATATTCAAAATATTTTCTAATCTTCATTTAAAGCATTGGACTTATTTTATTCTTTTTCATATAAGAATTAATCTTAGCCATTTTATTTCTATGTTAATCTGTCTTTTCTCTCAATTATCCAAAAATATTTTAAATTGATGAAATTGTATATCCAAATACAAGAGATGTAATTAAAACCATAATAATTAGATAGATTTATTCAATTAATGTTTATGGAACTATGTCTCCAAAGCCAACTGTAAAAGATGTAATGGTTCCAAAGTATAAAGATGCCACATATCTTGTTATCCAATCTTTTTCACCATAACCATATTTTATCAACCATCCAGTATTATTGTAAAATAATTCTTAAATCCCTATGTAATGCCAAGCGCAACCACTCATATGAGCCACAAATACTAGAAAAAGCATTAATTTCATAACATCAATTGGTGCTGCAAATTTCTCTCTTATTAATGTGACTTCCTCAATTTATTCAAATATTTTATTAACTCTAGTCATTCTCAACAATAAAACAAAATTTAAATATGGTATATTATATTGAGATATTAAAAAAGGAATTACTACTAAAACATCTTTGAAAAAATCACCCTTTATGTAATGTTAGAATATTTTAGAACGATCTTCATGAATCATTCCTTTATAATAATATGCTGTATTGAAATTTACAACTATTTCCATTAAAAATACCCAACTTGGTATTGTACTAAATAAAAAATCAACAGTTTATGCATTCTCTTATAATGAGAATGATAATTGCATAGGAATATAAAATATATTCATCACTATTAAAATTAATATTGTACAATCAACCAAAAGTTTAACTTTACTATCTGGTTTGATTACTCTAATGTTCATGTCCACTAAAAAATTATAAATTAATAAGCTTTTGATATATTAGTTAAAAGTCCATTTTTAATTTACCAGTCCTTTTGATTAGTAGAATAAATAATCAGATGATTTGTCTCCAATTATTTAATATATTCTATGAGTAATTTATTTAAGATGATATTGATCTACAGCTTTTCTTAACTTCACTATAAATTTAATAGCAGCACAAAAAATTTGAAGAGAATGTTTCTTCCAAACTAAATCAAAACCTTCTACCAAAGAATTCTCTGGAGAGTCATTCTCTGCAAAATTATGAGTATCTGGTTTTGTGAGTTCACCTCTGCAAGTGATTATTCTTTCAGTTTGAAAATCATTAAAATTCATCATTATTGTTAATAATAAGCTTATAAACCTTTAATAATCTTTTAATTAAAACTAAAGAATTTGATTTATTATACTCTATTCTAAGAATATTAGTATAAATTTAAATAAGTATTTTTAAACTTTCTGACACACAATTTAACAACTTTTCAAATTATTTTATATTTAATATATTTTGATTTGTATAAATATATATATATTTAAAATACTAGTTTTTGTATTAAATAAGATGATTATAATTTTTATTTATTGTATAACATTATATTATAAATACCTTAAGATATATATAAAATAAATTTTCATTCTTTAAATTTAATTTTCTTAATCAAATTAGATTATGGATCATTAATAGGATTATTTTCACTATTAGTAGATAAAATTTATTATGGTCTTAAAAATATTATATTGAAATCTCTTGGACTTATCAAACCACTTGAAGAACGATAAGTTGATATTTATGAAACTAAAATTAATATTATTTTAATTACATTTCTATCTTTCTATTCTATTGAGTTTTAATTTTACTTAAAATAAATACTTCTTTATTTATTTATATCTCTCAATCACTATCTTTCTTCTCTAACCTTTATTTATAAACCAATTATCCAAATATTTATGACACTTTAATTTTTATTTCAATCTCTATTTAATATGATCTTTTATTTTATCTATTAAATCTTCTTAAGATTATAAATATCCATTTATTAAACTCTTTATAAAAGTTATCAATAAATAAATATTTGTTATTATTATAGATAATATAACAATAGTATAAAAATTACTTGTTTATGATAATGAAAGTACTGCAAATAATGTAAAAGTGCATAACAAAGTACTCTTTTATTCTAATTAATTTAATGGTTTTGTTTTAAAAGGTAAAACCATTTAATTTGTAAAAAAATAGGAAAATTAAATAATAAATAATAGTATACATTTAATTACTATATTATCTTAATAAAATGTAATAGCTATTATTATCAATTCTCTAATGATAATTCTAATTATTTCCCAATAATAGGCTTTAGGTTAATATTCTAAATATAAATATCCCCATTATCTTCTGATATCATATTTTTAAAGTTAATTTCTATATTTAGTTAAATATATTATAAATATTCCTGGTATTATGGCTCCAATTATAATAGTAAGTATGATAAGATAAGGAATCCATTATTAATGAAATGATGTATCAAATTAATAAGCCAAATTTGCCTATATCCATTTTATGCCTGATAATGTTCTAAATGATAATGAAGATATCAATAATTATATCACTTATATTTAATAATAACAAAATAAATATAAGACACAAGTTGTTGGAATTACTTAATTATAAACAATCTTATTAAAGATTCTCAATAGGAAGTATATAAATAAGTAGATCAGTCCATAAAAAAGTGGACAAATAATACTATAAATGATTTTCACATATATAAGTCCATCTTAAAAATACTAAGCTAAAAAACAATCTGTAGTTATTAATAACATAGTTTGTGAATTACCAACAATATTATAATAATCTTTAAATGCTTATGGGATTTCAACATTAAAATTTATTATGATAGCTACTATTTGTAAATAATTAATAAACATTTTCATTATTGGACCAGTTTATTTATTATTGTTAATTAACAATTATCTTGATCCAACTTTATTTCTCTATAATTCTAAAATCAATTTCTCAACTCCATTTGTTGATATATATATTGAAAACAAACTCCTAAAATTATTTAAATAAACATTACCAAATAGTTATTAATATGATATAAATTATTTATTTATCTAAATCCTCACACTTTTAACATTAATACAATTTCTTTAGACTATATTAACCATGTCCTCTACTATTGTAATAATCACAAGCTTCACAACAAGCCCCTAACTATCCAATTTCACAAGTCTCATCTCCTTATCTCCATCCACCTAAACAGTTCTCTATTCTATTTTAACAATGTTCAATTATTTCACTATTTATAAATGGTCTCCAATATCCACTTTTTAATTAAAGTTAAGCAGGTGTTATTGAAATTATTGTATCTTCATCCATAAATTAACAACCTGTTGCATTTATAGTTACTGAATATTATTTCTTAAGAATATCACATAAATAACAAGCATTATCTGTTAAATTCTTATATTCTCCTAATTGACATTGATAAGTTTAAATGTATAATGTTAAATAATATTATGAATTTAAATCCATTATCTAATAAGGGAATACATTTTCATAAATGGGAATTTATACACTATTACAATTAATTTATAAAATTAGTTTAGATTCATCAATCTCATTTCCATAATAAATAATTAAATCATCAAAATTATAATCTTATGTATCTTAATCAAAAACTTTTCTATTATAATTTGTATAATTATTTGTAAAAATTATTTCTTATTAATCTTATTATTGATATCCACTTTCAATTAAACATTCACTATTATTAAGATGATATTGTTATTCATTATATGCATTTAAGGCTAAAACTCTTAATTTTAAATGTAAATGTTCATATTCTTATTTATGTATATTAAAATATTGATAAGTTTAAATTTGTTAACCACTTGGTAATTTTAAGAGATATAAATCTGAAGAATTTGATTAATTAGTTAATTAAGCATAAATCTTCCCATTTTTAAATGCATGTAAAGTTTGAAATTACAAATTTCTATATATTACTGTAAGTTAAGTTGAATGTGATGAACTAATATTACCATATCTATACGCAGTATTATTATTCAAATAGTTGAATGTTTTATTTAATTCAGGTAAACTTTGATTTCCTAAATATATTGCACCTCCTTCTTATGCTGTATTTGACACAATAAGATTATTTTGAAATAAAAGATTTGTAATCTCTCCATCATAATAAATACTTCCTCCTTATTCAACTGCTAGATTTTCACTTAAAATACTATTTGATATTTTAAGACCAACCTTTTTACTAACTATACATCCTCCTCTTTTTGCATAATTTCTATAGCAAAACATAGTGTCTAAAGTTAATTAAGACAATTTCTTATTTTCTTAGCTTTCAAACTCTTATACAAAGCATAAACATCCATTTTCACCACATTAATTATCCATTAACCATATATTCGATAATATTATATTGTCTGATTATAACTCAATTAATCTAATAAAAACAAGTCCTGATTAACAAAATAAGCAATAATTATTTGAAAATTAACTTGATTTAATAGATATTGAATCTTTATTTTTTACATTTGTTATTTAAATTAAACTTTCAATATAATTTTATGGTTCAGATATAGTATCTAATAAATTTATAAATTTATAAGTCTAATTTTTAAATGTTAGTATTTATTGATTTTGACAATCTTATGATAATTTTTCATAATCATCAATTATTTACTTAATTTAGATTGTTTCCAATTTTGGATCATCTTTATACAATTTTAAGTTTTTGATTTTGAGACCAGTTATTTCAATTTTGCATTATTAATCTATATTATATTATTATAATACCTGCAGCAAAGCTAATAAAAATGATTGAATTCTAGTAATAATAAGAATAATCTATTTCAATTGAAGTCAAACTAATTTTGCTTTAATAATTCAACTCTAAAAAGATATTTAAATATAATTGAACAAATATATCTCTTAAAACTAAATATCCTAACTAAATAGAAATCATTGTAGTTTCATATTTTTAAAATGAACTAAACAAAGACCTAAATTTTGAATAACCCTCTATTGTTTATAAAATTCTACAATTTTACATATAAAGTAATTAATCATAATTTAAGAAATTAAATTTAACAATATTACCATCATTTGAATAAATATCATAAAATGTAACATTAGTAAAATTAATGTTAATTTATTAGACTATTGGTTTCAAATATATAACACCTCCTTCAGCAGTTCCAATAATTGTATTAAATATAGAATCTAATATATCTATTTTGATATTGATGCTTCTATCATTAACATAAAGGCAACCACCAAATGATTATTCTTCAGAAATTTTAGTGTAAATATTTTTAAATTAAGAATTTCTTACAAGTATCTATCCTTCATTTTCTAATGTAATTTTAAAGCATCCTGCCTAAGTTGAGAAACTATCTAAAACATTTGTATTTCTTAATTAAATTAATGAGGCTATTAGTTATCCATTTCCACTTTGAGATGATACTTAAAATTAATTTTGCATTTATTGTTATGTCAAATAATAAGGTTAATATTTCCAATTCACATGTTTAAGAAATTTATCATAAATTTAATTATTTGATACAAAAGATGAATCAATAATATCAATTTATTCACTATTTAAATATAATAAACTATTTTCACTTTATGAGACATAATTTTGAGTAAATTAACAATTAAATAATTAAATTTTAGAATTTTATGCAATTATATAAAATATTAAGGCTGAGTCAGACTCAGATTCTTTAGTATGTGAATAATAAATGTTATTACTAAATTTAGAATTCATAATTTAAATATCTAATTATTATTCAGATTATAAAAGAATTCCAGATATCTAATTAATAGTCTAACTCTTTTGGATGATGCAATTATCAACATTTACGAAATCAATAACAATAGATTCATATCTTCTAATAATTTAAGTTGCAATGGAAATTATATAAATCATAGGTAGATCCAAAAGAATTAGATTAGAGATTTAAAAGTGTTAAATTCTAATATTTTATACATTTTAAATAGCTAAGGTAGATGTATATTTAAAATTTGTTTTATGATATGAACATTACTCATCAGTGATAATACTTTTAAAGAAATACTTAGAATTTAAAGTAATTGTAAAATTTGAAAGTATTAAGTTAATGGCTGAGGATAATAAAAATTCTGTTATACCTGATGATCTTGTAATTATAACATCAGATATTTGAATAGAGTTTGATTATATTCTAATAATTGAGGATAATGATTATAAATTTAAAGCTAATTAACTAGTATCAAAAATAGTAATTGTATTTAGAATAATATTAGATAATTTAACTGTACTGTTTAAATCATTTGATAATAAATTCATAAATATGGTTTTGTCATCATAATATACTTACATAATTTCAATATTTTCTAAAATAATAGATTAAAATTAATAATCTTATATAGAAGTAATAATTGAACTATTATATAAATTACAATATTTAATATAATAATTCTTATTAATTTATTCATTAGTTGTTTAAAATAGATTAAAATTTTGAAATGTTGAATTTAATAAATAGATTCCATTTATATATAAACTTTTAATCTAAAAAATCAGAAATAAAGGTTGAATATCATATAAAAATGAGTATTAGATTGATATTTAGGATATAGATCCAAATATATCTAGATATTAATTATTTAAAGTTGTCAAAAATCTACTAGAATAAATATTGGAATTAATGATTAAAATATTATGAAAATAACAATTTGTTGTTTTTTAAGAGTAATTATCTAATAAAATAATATTTGAATTGTGTATATTAGAATTTTAAATAGTAAATTGATCAATATTAATACTAATATATTATTAATTAACTGTATATTCTAAATAAAATAAACTAGTAACAGATTATAGATTTAAATTCTATAAAGATAAGTTTTAAATCCATAATTCTTAAAGATTAGTGGATAAAATATTAAATTTTATTGGATTTTAATCTTTTTATTTTTATTGTTATTGAATAATTACTGAATAAAATAGTACTTTTAAAACACTTAAAGATTATAAATGAATATTCACATTTGATTAAGGTTAAATAGTTAAATTTTATATTTGAATAGATTCAAAATTTAGTATTTCTAGATTTGAATTAAGATATAATGTATATCCATTACCTAATAATGTAATTTTGGCTTTAGTGACAAAATAGATATTTTAAATTAAAGTAGTGAAAATATAAGAGTGAAATTCTATAATACAATCTTAAATGAAACTAAATTATAATTCAACTTCTTAAATCTATTAAATACTTAGATATGTATATAAATTTAGATTTTCAATTCTTCCAAAATTACTTTAAGATTTATTATTGGTTAAGAGTTCATCTATTTTTATATTTTGTTGTAGAAAATGTTATTTATCTAATGCCAATTCTAAATGTTAATTAAAGAGTTCTGAACTACAATAAAGATTGAATTTCAATATAATTGTATTTGGATCTGTACCAGTTTCACTTAATTTAAAGAATTATTTAAATTTAGTATCATAATAATAATCTTAAAAACTTAATCCATTTTATAACATAAGACAAGTATGTGTTGAAGATTTGACATTTGAATTTGAGAAATATGGATTTGCACTTTATAATTAAGTATTAGTTTTTGGTTTACAAATCTAACAATATCTTGGACAATCAATACAATTACCATCATATAGAGACAAACGTCGATCTTCATACATTTTACATTTAACACATTTATTTTATCCATTACTTTTTATACAATGTTCACAATTTTCTGGACATTTTCTAATACAATTATCTAGATAAAATTCAAAATCTATTGTACAAGTTTTACAAACAATTTCTAATTTATCTTATGATTCATTTCCAAATATATCATCATAAAAGACTCCACGTTTCAACATCATATGAACAATACCATACCATATTTTCCAACCATTTTTCCACTATTTTGATCTTTATTCACATTTATAACAATTCAATTCTTATGGACATAAAATACACTATCCAGAAAATAATTCAGTATAATATCCAGGATAACAAAGTAAACATATATTACTGAAACAATAAGCACAATTTTATATTAAAAAATCACATCCATTTGATGCTGAAAGTGATTATCTTAATTAATTTGTATAAACTAAACATACATATTATAATTAATTTAATTATAATGATTAATAAACTTCCATTTAATACATTTATGTACAATATTCTTTATATTAAATATCTTCAGTAATTGTATCTATTTTAACACATTATCCTGATAGTAATGAAACATATCCTTCACTACATAAAGCACAATAATTTATTAATTAATTTTAATCAAAATCTCCTTTTTCATACATATGAAATAATGTATTTACTCTATTTCTCATAAACCAGGATTTATGAAATTATATTGCATATTTACATTGAATATCTAAATTTTCAATACAATCAATTGCATTTATTGATAAATGATATTTTTAATTATCTATGCAATTTATACATCTATTATAATAAGATCCATCTTTTGAATTTTATACAAATAAACACTCTAAACAATATTTTCCACAAGGATAACATTATCCTTCAAATACTGAATATTATCCTATGCATTTATTACATTAAACATTAGAATTATATTCACATTCTAAACATTCTTTTGGACATTCTAAACATTCATTATTTTATGGATTCAAAGTCATTTAATCATTACAAGATGTACAAATAGTATAATCTATACATGTTAAACAATTAGAATGACATATAACACATTCCCCTTATTAATAATAGAATTATGATTGACATGTTATATATACTTTAAGTAAAGTATGAAAATAACAATTTGATTCAATATCTAAATTACAAATAGAATTGCATCCAACACATAAAGTAAGTGATGATGTTTAATTATCAAGTACATATAATTCAATATCTTATTTTCCTCTTTAAATCAATTCATATTATCCATACTGATTAAAAACATAATCAGATTCACATTTCAATAGTTTAGCAAATGATTCAGGTTAAGTTAAACATTCTATACAACTTATTTTTTCTGATTAATTTTCATTAAATTAAGGACAACGTAAATAAATAATTTCATTATTGAATTCTTTAATTGGAAAATATCCAAATTATGATAGTGTTTAATTCTTTGCATTATATTCTTAAATAGAATTTGGATAGAAATTCAGAAATTCTACTTTACATAATTTATATTACATATACAATTTCCAACATTACTTTCTATATAGCCTAGACTACATTTACAATAACTATTTTCTAAATATCTATTAGACTTCTAATCACAACTTATACATTAATCAAGATATGGTCCATTACAATCTAAACAACTGAAATGACATTCTTGTTTAATCAAAAATATATATACTTTTCATTAATATAAAAGATTCAGGTAAACAAACAGTTATTTTACTACTCTCTGTTGTTATATACATACCATCAGATGCAGCACTAAATAGTTATCCACTTCTAATTTTTAAGTTAGCACCATCAAAATGATAAGTTCTATTATAATATTAAACATCATAAATATCCCCATCACTAAACCACATTTTTAAATTAGAAACTGGTACATATTATTTATCAAAACCATATAGAATAGAAACATAATGCCATTATCTTAAATCTTATTTTAAAGTATGGAAAGCTATATCTGATTTATCAAAATATTAATGTAAATTTGGATAAAAGTCTGGATCAATCTAATTGAAAGTTTAGAAATACACTCCATTTGCTAAATCAGATGTCCATGCTTAAAGAAGACAATATTATAAATCAACTATTTTTTAATAGGAATTAAGATGTGGTAGAAACAATATTTCAACTCCAAAAACACTAGCTGAATAATTTATATTCTAAAGATATATATATATATAATTATATTACCAAATTGTAATCAATTTTAATCCAAGATTCTAATTAAATCAATCCATATGAATAAATATAATTTGATATTGATGTTACATCATATGTATTAATTTAACAATATGGTTATGGAATAAATTATTAATCAAGAAATAATCTAAATTATTGAACTGTATTAAAAATAATATAATCTTTATTGAAGTTAAACTATACTTTTGAAATTCTTCCAGGATAATAAGCAAATTATTTTATTTCATCATTTTAATTTAATTGTAATTTTAATTCTCCTCCTTATGTAATTATTGTCTCTTTCATTTCTAAATTACTATTAGATTCATAATTTATAATTTAACAATTATCATTCCAAATATCATATATAATAATTTATCTTTAATAAGGGTATTAATACGAAATTTATATATTAATCCATTTACCATCAAAATCGAATGAATCAAATACAAATTTTGCTAATTCAATCATTTAATTATCTATTTAATATTATAAATATAAATATTTCTCTTAATTAGCATTTTTGTTAGTCCAATCTTAATAAAAGAATACCCTATATTATGAATTATCAGGATTTATTTCCCTTAATATCAATAACCCTTCGATTTTAGGGAATGTCGTTAAGCTTTCATATAATGTAGTCTATGTAGACAAATATTAGAACCAAAAGCCATATCCATAAGCTGTATAATCTAAGAGAGGCATTTTTATTGTCTCAGTACTATCATCTAATAAACATCCTTGCAAAGTAGCTGAATCACACTGGATTGAAGATTTAATTAATCCTATTAATATGAAAGTAGCTATCCTAATATAGGAACCAATCATTATATTAAAAATGAAAAATTATTAAAATATATTTTTAAACTTTCAATATTTCTAAATTTTAATTCAAAATCTTTAAGTCTCATTTTACTCCTCAGAAATTTAATATTCTTTTTTAATTAACAATTATGTTTTGCTTTGCTATTTTAAAAAAACTCTTAATTATTCAAATCTTTTTTTTCTTATTTCTATTGAAGTTTTTGAATGAGCTTAAAATATATTATATTTAATAAATATCTCATTAAATATTCCTAAATTTTCAAATACTTTACAGAACATCCTTTTTATATATTAGGAATTCAATTTCAATAAATGTAGAATAATAAAAATTCCACCCAAAATAAATAAAGAATTAATAAAATTCAAAATTATATTTTTTAATATAGAACCTTAGTATTCTTATATTGAAATTAATGTACAAAATATTAACATTATAATACTGATAATATTTAATTAACTTTCAAATCTATTCATTTATATATGATAATAGATTTTACTATCTTAACATAATTTAGTATAAATGATTAATAAAGAATAAGATAATACTCCTTTTATTGTTACATTTGCATCAATCATAATGATTATGCATATCAATCCATTAACTAATAAGAATTTATAAAATTCCCAGTGTTAATGATTATTTTAATAAGATGTAAACCAAAACCCAAAGTCTTTAAAAGGTATTCGTTTTGATAAAAATAAGGATGACTTTAACTTTTGTAATAATAAATAAGGTAATACAATTCCCAAACCTATTACAATAGGTAAAAATAAGAATAATACTAATCTAAGATGATCTTTATCTGAATAATTATATGAAATGTTTTTATATATCCAATACACATCCTATATATTTCTAAAAGCTATAAGTTAAATAATGGATCGTATAAAACTTCCAACAATAAAAATATATATTAAATATACAAAGTTGAAAAATTCCATTTAAGTTATTTTTAATTTTTAAATGAAAATCCTTGCAAAACAAATACATACAAAAGTAGTTATTAATATTATTATACATATAAAATTTTACAATAATGATATATAAATTACATTAACTTCTAGATTTAGTAATTGACATTCTTTATATATACCTAATAATGTAAAAGGATCTCCAAAAAAATGAATTAATTATTAGATTTCATCTGAAAATACAGAAGATATTTCTTATGTATAACTTATTATTTGAAAATAGAACAATATAATCTTTATACTCTAACCCATAAGGACTTCTTTTTACTTAAAAAAACCTTATCTAAAAGGTACTCTAAATTCCTTAACATTTAAACGTATAAATTATACTCTCTTTTTAGATAAATAATTAACTAATACAAGTAAACAAATAAATCTTTATTAAATAAAAATTATTACATTAAAATTGTGATCACAAAATTAATTATTTAATGTAAATCATCCTTTTCACAAATTTAACATTCAAAAAAACTCTCTCTTTAATAATATCCTCCACCTCTTATATTATAATAATCACACTATTCACAAAGAGCCCCTATATAGCCCTATTAACATAAATCATTTCCAACTCCCCATCCACCAATACAATTTTCCTGTCTATTTAAACATAAGTCAATTATAGATGTAGTCACTTTCATTCTCCAATAACCCTATATTATAATTAAAAAAATTATTTACCTTTTTCAAAAATATTTAAGCTTAAGTTATTTCCTAAATCATTTAATCATCTACTGTTTAACAATTTGTAGCTCCTACAATAACAGAGTATTATTTCTAATCTACTAAACATTAATGACAATAATCTTCTTTTGATTAACTGTACTCACCTAGTTAACATTCATTAGGTTTAATTAATAGACTCAAAGTATAATTTTAGTGATATCTAATTATAAATATATAATGATACCCCTCTATTAAATTATTTTTATTATTTAAAATTGGAACATAAATACTATTACATTTAATAGAAAATTCAAATTTTTAATTAGAATCTGAAGGAATGTAAAATATTAAATCATCTAAATTATATGAAAATGTTGATTAATTAAAGTAAATCTTATTTTTATTTAAAAATAGATTTTATACTTATCCAAATTAATTATTTATCTTTAATTCACAATAAGTATTTGTAAGATTTCTAACTATTTCTAATTATGAGTTAATTGCATATAATCTCATTTCAATAGTTTTTTAATTATAACTATTTTTTTCTATTTCAAATTTTTTGTATTTTGATAATGGAATTCCAGTAGGAATATGTATAATTGATATTTAACCATCTTTGCCAATTATTTAATATTTTATGTGATTTTTAGAAGATGATACAATTGTTGGTTTAATTATTTAATCTTTAAAGATTTACAAATAAATTTATTAAGGTTATTCATCAATTTAATTTAATCCATAATTATCAATTAACTCTATTCCTTTAACATTTCTTTATAAATTATCTTAATTATAAATTGCACTTCCAAATTATGCTGAATTATTTGCAATTATCACATTATCTGAAATCATTGTTGAATTAATTCCTTTTGTAAAAATGGCACCTCCATATACTGCCTTATTACCACTTATCAAACTTAAACTAATTGATATAATTTAATTTTCTATAAACAAACAACCTCCATATTAAGCAGTGTTGTTAATACATTACAAATCCTCTATTCTAATAACAGAATTATCTATATAGTTGTTAGAATCTTAACTTTAAAGTATACGTTTATCTTATTAAATAAAAGAAATGCAACCATTATTACCACAATAAGAATTAGATAATGTGATTTTTGTAATTTTAATAGATATTTATTTACTATTCTAAAAATTTAATAGCCCATATAAGCATTTATTGCACTTATTGTTCTATAAATTAATCTAAGAAAGATGAATTTAATATTTTTGATAATAATCTGCAAATTTAAACAATATCATAGACATTGTTGATGATTATATCTAAGTAAATAAGGTATCTAAAAGTGTTATTTGATTAATATTAGAGAAACTTTCATTAAAACTCATGATAAATAAAGGAGCATCTATTAAACTTTGGTTACAAGATGTTCTTACATTATTATTTATAATATTTTCTTATTATTTTTATGGAATATTGATTTCTGTAATTGTTATTTGAGTACAGTTTTAAAACTCTATATTATGAAGAATTATTTAATCAGATTCTCTTACTGGAGAAAATTGTATTAATTGATTCGAAAAAATAATATTTTGTGTTGATATATTCTTGAGATTTGTACTTCCATAAAATTGAAACATAGGTATAGGTAGATAATTTGTTATACATAAATCACTTATTTAAAATTAACAATCATAACAATAGATAAGTGAATACTCTTATGTTAAAGTGTTTAATTCATTATTTGATACATCTGGTAAAGAATTTATGAAATTATTAAATTTATCCAAATTTTAAGACAATTAACATCCCCTCATCTTAAAAATTAATACTTAATGAATAGATTTTTCTACATACATTATCCCTCCTTAGATTGAGAAAATGTTATTAAAAGTAGAATTGAGCAATGTAATCTTGAATAATTTTGTTGATGGTATAATATAGAATATACTACCACTTTTTCTTGAAGATATATCAAGAAATTTTGTATTAATTACATTAATTCTTAAATATAATGATTATGATGATATATGAAATGCTCCTCCTTAAGAGGATTCCATCAATTCAGCTTCCAAATTTTCAAAATTTGAATTGCTTATCTATATATTTCCATCTTCTATCATTTTAAATACGAATCCAGCACCCTATTTTGAGATTGAACTTTATAATAAAATTTAGTTAAATATGATTTATCTAGCTTAAAAATTACCATTTCCTCCATTACTTTAGGTAATATATAATTTTTATAAATGTTCTAAAAAGATGTCTTCTGTCAAACCCCATCTAAGAAACTACTTTAAGGTATCATATACAAATGCTGAATTACTTAAAAACTTTGTATTTTCTACAATAATTAAGTCAGAGTCTATATATAATAAAGATCCTTAACCATTTAAATTCATATTTTTTTCAATTTAACAATTACTTATTGTACTTTTGGCTTAAAATGCTTCCACTATTAGAATTAAACTTTATTTTTAAGGGTTACTTTCTCTTAATAAATTTAATAGATTCTAAGAAAATGTAATATTGTTTATATCCAAATTAAGATAAGAATTAGAATTAATTGATATTAAAGATACTTTTTAGTATTTATTTAATTAATGCAAAATGTTAGAAGAAAAATTACAATTTATCATTATAAATTATGATTTTATCTATGAAAGTATTTATATTTCAATTAAAACAGAATCATATAATATGATATTAGTAATATTAGTATTTGAAATTTCAATATATGAGCTATTTTATAAGTTCATTAGATTATTATACATAAACTAATTAAATGGATGTAATTTGCATTCTTAATTATTATTAAATAGACTTTTAAAATAATAATTTTAATGCAATGTAATTACAGTATTCATAAGTTTAAAGGTATCAGTATTTTTAATAGTGAATTCAGAGTAGCCTATTCCTTTCTAAATTATCAAAGTATCAAATATAACTATATTTGATTAAATATTGATTATGGATAATTCAATGTCCTTAACAAAAGAATCCTTTTAGTTATCAATATTAATAGCATTGTTGATTAATTGAATATTTTTAAGATACACTGTTTCTGAATTTAATAATAAAATTAAAGCATGCTTATTAGAGTAAACATTATCTATGATTATACCATTTTCAATTTATATGAATTCAAGAAAAGTTGAATCTTAATTGATTAATAATGTGGATTACTCAAGGAATTGGAGTTTTTTAAAATTGAATTCAATCAATTATAGAATTTTAGAACTTGAAATCAAATTTGAATTTTGTAAAATTGAATCTTAAAATTATAATCCATTAAATTCAACTTTTTAAATTAATTTAAAATTTAAGAAACTTGTAGTATTTACAATAATTGAATTTAAAATAATAAAATTATCTATATTTATTATTTCACTTTATTATAATTATTCAATTAGAGTAGTATTAGTAAATTAGGAATTTTGTATATGAACATTTTATATTTATGTTTAGATTTTTTAAGATGTATTAAATTTAATAATTGATGTATTAATTATTTTAGCATCATTTATTATTAGATCCACTACTATTAATTTAATATCTAAATTTTGATTAGTAATTAAAAATAATCCATTTTGAAAATGAACATTTATATTGTTTATTTACAATTTAGAAATATTAATTTAAGTGGATTACTTAATTTATATTAAATAATTTTATGATGTTAAATGTATTAAATCCTAATAGATATTAATAGTTTCAAATTCTACAATGTAACCATAGATATTATCCATAGATATATTTCCATTAGAAATTTGAATATTAATGTTTTCAATTCTTATGTATTTAAAATTTATAATTTATAAATGATTATTCAAATATAGAGTATTGCCAGATCCATTGATTATTAGGTTTAATTGAATCAAGTTAAAACAATTTGTTTATAAATTGGATTAGATGTTTAATTACTTATTTAAAGTACATATTTAATTATTTACAATAGTAATTTAATAAGTAACTATTTTAATAAAGTTCTGATTAAGATATAAAAAATAATCATAATATTCATACAATGTTAAATTAAGATTTTCCAAAAGAATATGAAATTTACTCTAAATTACTTTTTATTAATCATTTAATTAATTGATATAATTATCTAAATCAATTTAATTGCAATAAACATGGATTTCAATAATAATTTATTTTTAGCATTCAATAATATTATCACATTTAATAAATTATTGTATATCTTAATCATAATATAAGTCATCATATTATGGTGAAATGCATTTATGAGAAAAATATTCTAAATTTTTATTATTAAAATATGGATTAAATGTTAATTTTTCATCATCTGTTCTAGGATGACATATCTTACAATTTAATGGACATTAAATACATCTTCCATTATAAACTTGATATTGTAAATCATTAAATTAAATGCAAGAAATACATACTTATTAATCATTAATAATTTTGCATTCTTTACAATTATTAGGACATTTTTAAATACATTTATTAAAATGTTTAATATATCCATCTGAACATTTAGTACATATAATTTCAATTTCATCCTTATTAGGATTTTGAGTCAACAATTAATAATGTAGAGTTCCTTAAAAATCATTTAAAACTGTAAATAACTTTACAATTGATGACTTTACTATTTTTGAAGAATCAACTTAAATACAAGTAGCACATTCATGATTACATGGTTTACAGAAACTTGAATAATAATCATTATAATAACCATCTTCACATATATAACAAATATTAGCATATTCCCAATCTAACCTGAAACAAATAGTACAATGTGGAATAAATTGAGTACAGTATCCAAATCCCAAGACCATTAAATTATTAATACCAATAGAACAATCCATATAACCAGAATAATGGAGGGTTTAATAACATCCACTTTTAATTTAATCAGATCCTTAAGGAGTACAAGTAAACTAATTATTTTCAGCAGTTAAATAGGAGATAGTTGAACAAAATATACAACCTGTTTTAATATATTGAGTTTCTTATGGTTAAAAATCATACAAAATTGTATTTATAGAATTAGATACAATTGAAAATTGAAAAGGATATATACAATGATTTAAATTATTAACATAACAACTTTCTCCATCAAGAGATATATAAGTATTGTAATTACATTTTAAACATTTCATATATTCTTATCCAGTATCTCTGTTTATTTTCTATTAACAAATTTCACATAGATAACCACATTTTATACAATTATCATTAACTAATGAATAACCTTATTAACAATCAGAGCATTGTACTTAATCCAATCTTGAATCTAAAATACATTATAAACATCCCTAAGGACATTGATAACAATGATCATTTTTTATATAAAACCCTTAATTACATTCTATACATTTTTCTGTATCTTTGCATTTAATACAATTCATTTCACATAATTCACAAATATTATTATTAGGATATAAAAATTATTTACATTAATAAAAGGTATATATACCATTCACATACTTAATAATTGAAAATGAATTTTTTGTTTCAGTAATTTTTTCACATCCAAAACATAATTCAATAATCATCAAATCAAAATTTATAATAAATAGTTCTTATGATTGATAATCTAATTATTGGTTGTAATAAGATACAGAGTCATCAGTTCTATAATCAATATTACATACAGGTTCTAAATACCAATTGTGAGAATTTAATATACAATTAATACAATTCAATGAATTATGAGTTTAGCCAAAATAAGGACTTTGAATTAACATTATAAATACCATTTAATGCATCCTATAAATTTAAGATTCTTCCATACTTCAAAGTAACCATATTTACACTTTTTATTATATTATACCTCAATTATATTGTATTCTTTATATAACTCTTTTTATTAGGAGATAGAGTTTAAAAGGGTTTCTAAAATAGATTAAAAAATAATTTACTTTGGCATATTAAACTATCTGATTCCTAATAATTAGATTTACATAAACATTAATGAAGATCAGATTATAAGTATCTATTTTATTCATCATAACAGGATGCACAATCATATTTAGTAGGTCCTGTACAAGTTTTACACATTGTATTGCAATCTATTATAATATTATTATATATACTTAGATTCGATTCTTTTCCAAATTGATAATCAATATTGTTACAGTATTTAAATCTTAAATTTGAAATTAAACCTTCAAAAGGTATGATTGTTCCTAATTCTTATTCTCTGAATAATGTTATTGTGGCCTAATAATTTGTATATTATTGATAATAAGGAACATTGAGCACATAATATTATTCCCAAGTATCACAACAAGATTAATAGATAGAAAGATAAACATATTGATACATTCCAATCTTCTAAAACTAATATTTTAAATAGGTCCATTATTCAAAACTTTTTATAGGTTTAAACAATTATACAAGATAATTATTAAAATACTATGTAATTTATTCTCCAGGTACTAAATAATAAACATCTAAATGATGAAGTAATATAACATCATAATTTACAATTCTCCAATACAATGCTAATTAATAATATCGCTCTAAAGTTGAAAATAAACCTCCAAATGATAATAAGATTTCATTTTCTGAATTTATTTTATAAGAGTCTCTTTTTATCCAAAAATCAAACATGTATACTAATCCATGAATATCAACTTAATAATTACGAATGGTACAATTATATTAATTATATGGCTCATTAAATAATAATAATTCAACAACATTTTAACATCCTTATGGAACTGAGCATTTTGATATAAATTAAACAAATTTTACTTTATCTTAATTATTGAAAAAACTAATTGGATTTTCAAAAATAGTAATTATAGAAATTCTTCCCAAAAATATATTTAAATTAAAACTACTAGTATCTATATTATATAATCCCTATCCTCCATATTCTAATTTAACATTATTTGTTTATGGTTTCAATCTTCTATTTGTGACTAAAAAATTAAAAAAACGATCATCTCCTGTACTATATGATGCAAAATTGTATTTGTTATCATAATTAAAACTAAAATAGGTAAAAATCCAATATCCCTCATAATAAAATAGTGCCTCCTGAATCTTATAAGCCAATACCCCAGACTATGTATTTTATAAAATGATTAATGTTGGATATCCTGTAACATAAAGAGGTTATTAATAAAACATCGTTTATATATTTCCTTCATTTTGAAAATTTAGAATATGAAATCCATCAAGATTTCTTGTTGAATCAAAATAAGGTTTTGATTTGTCTGAATATGAATTTTTTCTAATAGGAGCAAATTGAGTCCATACACCAAATGCATATGGATTTCCTCTTTCATAATTCTTTTCTTGATAAAAGTTATTACTATTCAATTAAAATTAATCAAAATTTGAGTATGGACATGTTGACTAGACTAATTTTAAAATATAAAATATCTAAAACATCTATTTATATTAAATTTTGAAAATATGAGTATCAAAAGAATTTTAAATTATATTTGTAAATAAATGGATTGCAATAATCATTTCAAAATGAGAATTATAATAATCATAAACAAGAATTTTAAAAATATATATCTAAAAAATATTAATTAAAACAAATAAACTGCTTAATTAAATAATTATATATATATTAATACTTAATCTCATTTGAAAAAACACATTATTTAGTGATATCAATTCAATTTTTAGCCTAATATTTTTTTGATATTTAAAAATGAGTAATCTATATCCTTATATGTAAATATACATCTCACCCATTTTCTACAAAAGTATATTAATTTTTCAAATTTAGAAATTCAACCATATTAAAATTTCATAAAAATAACAATGATTATTTTTTAACTAATTCTAAATATCATGAATTGTAAAAACACTAATATCATATTATTATTAATATAAATGTAAAATTAAAATTGTAATTTCAAAATCATGATAAAATAGAGTATTTTAGACAGAGTATTTTGAAAGAGTCTATCAAACACTCTATAATAGGAATAATGAAAAATAATGAATATAAATCATATATAATAATTCCCCTTTAAAGTATTTTTGTTTAAAAAAGATAATTCTTGATATGTTAAATAATAGCTTTCTTACAATAGGATCAACATTAATTCTTTATTTCTATTCCATTAATTTTCATAGAAGATATTTATCACTTAAATTAGAATCCTAATTAGGTTAAATATCTTATATAGAGATCATTAAAAAATGAAATATTCTCTCAATTTCTAATTTGGATTCCTAACAGATTAAATGGCTGTTATTAGTATTTATGAATAGTCATTCATAAATACTAATTTTCAATATTCATCGTAGTTTCTTGGGATACTGATTAATTATAAATATTAAATTGTGAAGATTTTTCAAAAAAAAATTAAAAAGATTAGTAAAATTAGTAAAATTAGATTGTTTACATCATTACTCTAAGATTTTTAGTGTTGATTTTAATGAAAAATTGGAGTATTTATATAGATTATAAAGATGTTTATAATAACTATTATTTAATTAAATAAATAAATTTCTTTATATAAAATTCTATGTGAAATTTGACACTTGTTAAGTAGTGATTAAAAAAAGTTCTGATTTTAAAAGATATTTGAATAATATATAAGTTAAATTGGAGTTTATTTAGTCTTAATAGATAATTTAGGTATGTGAGATAATAAAGATAAAATTTATAAGCCATCAATAAATTCATAAAGGAAATTATTATAAAAAATTCTGATTAGCCTATTAAATTATATATATCTCATCTTTTAATATATTTTAAGGATCTTGTTATAGTCTATTATAATTAGACAAGCTCGTTAACATATCCCCTAGATAATTATTATATCTCTTCAGGTGTAGCTGAATCTAATTATTTTGACAATTCAAGCAAATCTCTAAGAGGAACAGATTGATCTAATTTTCTTGTTAACATGGGTTATGGTTTTTGATTTGTTGAGGCTTTACCTTAAGTATTTTAAGATTAATTAGCAACAGGAGTACTATTGAATTACCAACATCCTAAATTGCTTAAAGATTAGTTTTTTCTTCTGAAAGCTGATAGTAAATCATCATTTTAAGTATTTAAACGTCGACTATTGAAATAGAGAGTAAAATTAACCTTTCTGTCAAACCGAAAATTTTACTGGGAGATGCCAAATTAGGATTATGGTCAGCTTTACTTTAATTAATGATGACATGATGAAACCTATTGTCAGTTTTATTATCAACTTATTCAGCCCATTCAGTAGGATATCTAATAAGAATTAAATGTACCTTCTAAGTTCTTTCTTTTCCAATGTGTTTACGTAAGATGACTAAGGTCTGGCTGAATTGGGAATAGAGACTGATTCAGTCAGATAAGAAGTTCGTTTATAAACTTGGGATTTTTGTGAGCTTGATAACATTAAAATAAATTTTTATTTATTTGCTTAATTTCATATAGATTGATACCAAATCCTAATGAATATTTTAAAAAGTTTGATTGTTAGAAATATTGAATGATATACTTAATTTCTTAAAATAAATTAAATAATATAAGCTTAGAAGTGATATATATATATATAGAATTATAAGAAAGATATAAAAGTAAAATATATATGAGTGATATATGATAACTATAGATAAGATAGTAATTCATTTTTCAGAAAAATCTATAGGTTCTTCCATTATGACATTATGCATTTTAATAGCTGCAGGATCATTACTTTTTTAAACACATTAATCAATTTTTGTTAATAATCCATATAATACATCTCTTTAATATTAAAGATCATCTAAAGCATATATTAATTTCCAATTATAATCCATTTTGTTTTTGATATCAATTTCTAATTCTTTGATTGCTTCTTCAGCTTATTAAGCTTTTGTAGATTCAACTTTTAAAAATGTTCTGCCATCAATATCTGTCTATTTAAATTTTAAAAATTCAGTATTTGGAATCAGATGAGCACTCATTTGTGTATAACGACCATGATGTTATTTTTCAAAAGCTTCTAATCTTCTTTAATAACCACGATAATTTTTAACAAATGGATTAACTTTAGAAGCATAATTATACATCCACTATAAAAATGTCATATTATCTTAAAATTTGCATTTACTTAATTTATCAATTGGAACAACTTTATCAATTTTAAGTTTAGAAAATGCATCATCAAGAACCTCTATTAAATATTACAATCTACTTTTAAATTCTTAGTGTATTCATCTGGAAATCTAGCCATAAAATTTAATTTTGAAAGATATATGGCTCCTGGATGTAATGCATCTATTATTTAACAATAACCAATCCCATCAGATAATAACTAATTTAAAATTTAAATATTACCTCAACCTTAGGATAATCACATTCAGTTAATTCATTTATCCATTATAAAAAATCTTATCTACCTTAGTTGTGAGNTGAAACCTATTGTCAGTTTTATTATCAACTTATTCAGCCCATTCAGTAGGATATCTAATAAGAATTAAATGTACCTTCTAAGTTCTTTCTTTTCCAATGTGTTTACGTAAGATGACTAAGGTCTGGCTGAATTGGGAATAGAGACTGATTCAGTCAGATAAGAAGTTCGTTTATAAACTTGGGATTTTTGTGAGCTTGATAACATTAAAATAAATTTTTATTTATTTGCTTAATTTCATATAGATTGATACCAAATCCTAATGAATATTTTAAAAAGTTTGATTGTTAGAAATATTGAATGATATACTTAATTTCTTAAAATAAATTAAATAATATAAGCTTAGAAGTGATATATATATATATAGAATTATAAGAAAGATATAAAAGTAAAATATATATGAGTGATATATGATAACTATAGATAAGATAGTAATTCATTTTTCAGAAAAATCTATAGGTTCTTCCATTATGACATTATGCATTTTAATAGCTGCAGGATCATTACTTTTTTAAACACATTAATCAATTTTTGTTAATAATCCATATAATACATCTCTTTAATATTAAAGATCATCTAAAGCATATATTAATTTCCAATTATAATCCATTTTGTTTTTGATATCAATTTCTAATTCTTTGATTGCTTCTTCAGCTTATTAAGCTTTTGTAGATTCAACTTTTAAAAATGTTCTGCCATCAATATCTGTCTATTTAAATTTTAAAAATTCAGTATTTGGAATCAGATGAGCACTCATTTGTGTATAACGACCATGATGTTATTTTTCAAAAGCTTCTAATCTTCTTTAATAACCACGATAATTTTTAACAAATGGATTAACTTTAGAAGCATAATTATACATCCACTATAAAAATGTCATATTATCTTAAAATTTGCATTTACTTAATTTATCAATTGGAACAACTTTATCAATTTTAAGTTTAGAAAATGCATCATCAAGAACCTCTATTAAATATTACAATCTACTTTTAAATTCTTAGTGTATTCATCTGGAAATCTAGCCATAAAATTTAATTTTGAAAGATATATGGCTCCTGGATGTAATGCATCTATTATTTAACAATAACCAATCCCATCAGATAATAACTAATTTAAAATTTAAATATTACCTCAACCTTAGGATAATCACATTCAGTTAATTCATTTATCCATTATAAAAAATCTTATCTACCTTAGTTGTGAGATTTCATATAATAAAATATTGTTAATTATTTATAATTATTCTCATTTTATTTGTTAATCCTTATTTATTTTCATAATAATCTCTTATTTTGACAAAGTATATTGATATATTATGGTAGATGACAATATAAATAGAGTGGGAATCAGAAATTTTGGTATTTTAAATATTCTTATTCATTGACCTTTAGGATCCCTATATATATATCTTTCTTTTGAAAGAAATGATAAATGGAATATTTGGGAATTGATACTAAATTTCTAGTTCTTTATTTAAATTTAGACTCAATCCTTGTTCACTATTAAATATTAAAATTTATAATATATAATAGTAATTTATTGAATCATTAATTTTCATTTTTCAGAATATATACCATCTGCTAAATTTCATATTATATATGAAAATATTAAAAACCTTGTTGCATATGAAAAACCTTGATAAGCATCATACTTCTAGACTGCTGATTTGCAATTTATCAGTAAAATTTTGACTTGAATTAATCAAATTTAAAAAATAAAAAAAAGATTCCCTTTATTATGCATTTCTAAACTTTCTTAGAAGAGCCTAACAAATTAACCTCATATAAGTAATTACAATAATAAAGTAATGTATGCTTAACTAATCTTTCAGTTAATGAATAAAAAGAACAGAAAGTTAAATCAGATATATAGAATTTAGAGCACATTTGGGTATAATGGTTAAGCTAACAATAACTGTCTCAAAAATAAAATGATGATACTTTAAAGAAAAATGAATCCATTGATATAGAATGCACTTAAGAGGCTAATGTATATATTATTGAATATAAGATAGGCAGTTGAAAAGAGTACTTAGCTTAAAAATTTCTTTGAAATACTTAAATCAAGGATAATCAATGAAAAATTGTATTCTACTATGACACAAACATAAATGACTTAATTTTTTGAAGAAGCCACAACCTAAATTTAAAACAAAATCAAACTCTATGAAGACATCTAGAAATTAAAATTACTATAAAATTATCCATGTATTATATAATTTTGATAATCTGTTTAGCAAATACTAAGAGGACTTATTCAAAATCTGCTAATATGACACTTAAAAAATGGTTGATTGAGAATTATAATAATCCTTATCCAAAACCACATTAAGTAGAGTAATTAGTCTAATAAACAAATTTAACCAACAAATAGGTATCATTATTCATGATTTCTTATAGGTCTTAAATTGGTTTATAAATGCTAGAAACAGTCTTAAAAATAAATCAGCAGATGAAAAAAAGTTCAAACATATTGTTGAGTGTAAATTTAAGGAACTTGCTATGATGAAAAAAAAAAAAATAGAGCAAAGTATTTGATTATTTGTAAAATCACTGAATGTAAATTTGTTAATTATAATCATTATTTATTAAATTTAATTAATTATTTTAATTCATATTATATTGACATTTTTAATGTATCAAGTGGAAATTTTTTTCAGTATAATTTTGCATCATATTAATATTCAATCGAAATGGCATGAATTACATACTATAAAATTAAGACTCATTTAAAAATCTATTTTAAGTCATATTCTTTTTCTCAAATAATTATTCAAATTAAAATCATATACTCCAAATTGACATTCTAAAACGATATTAATTAACATTACTCTGAATAAATTTATGTCTATGACTTTAATTTCAATTGAAAATAATCTATTAAATTGATAATCACATATGCTAAATTATATTTAACAAACGTAGTATAATTAATTCAATATGGTTCATATAATCAATTCAAATCAAAATGAATAAAAAAATAGTCATTTATAAATAACTAAATATCCAACATTTTATTTATTTTTATTCTAATAATATCCTTCTAGTAGCAATGGGCTCTTTAGGTAAAATTTTTATAAATAAATTGATGGTTTAGTAGTTTCAGGTAAAATTGAATGGTTTTATTTAAAATAAAATCATTAATCATTTATTTATTTACTCTCTAATTCTTTATTTTATTACTTAATTATAAATTAAAAATCAAATTAAAATAATTGAATTTGAACATAAAAATGGAGATTCTTAAATAAAATTAGTTAATTTATAAATCATTCACTAAAAATATATTAGTCATATTACAATGAATTATTGAAGGATTATATATTTAAAAGAATCATATTATTTAGAAAATAGAGGATTCATGATACAGTAGTTTTACAATTTTTATAGAAAAATTTTACAATATTTGAATGAATTTCATAAATTATCTACAATTTTTGATTTTAATACTATGACCCTTAATAATTAATATAGAAATGAAGGCTCAGGATCAATTAATATATTCTAGCATAAAAATAAATAAAAATAATAATTTATTAAAAAAATGAAATCTATGCTTCATCTTTTGTAAAAACGAGGTTCAATGATATTGATGGAACCGTATGAAATTTATTAAATTTAATAGCATCAATGATGGAATGGATAAAGTGTAAGAGAAACATCAGGTTGTATAAACTTATGTGGAATAAGTGAATCCTAAAACTGCTATAGCTATAGAAAAAGAAGTATTAAATAAATGGGATTAAATTAGGAAGAAAGATTAAATTAAAGATATTTTCATTTAATGAATCAATTGGAGAGATTAAAATTTTAAATAGTAAAGTTAGAAGAGAAAAAGAAATCACAAGAAGAGTAATTAAAATAATTAGTAAAATTAGTCTTGAGAATCATCCATCTGTTAAAGAAGTGGTTGGGGAATTGCACAAGATTTCTAAATATGAAAAGGCTTTAAGTGAAAACCATAGCAAAATGGTTGATGAGATTAAATTAAATAAAATGACTATTAATTAATTGAAATAGACTGTATACTAAAAAAGAATAGAAATAAGAGATATAGTAAGAGATTCATTCAGAATATAAGAGGAGATGATTAAACTAAAATAAGAGAAAAGAACAGTTTCTAGTATTTATAATTATTAATAAGTTGACAGAAATAGTGTTGATATGTTTTTAACAATACCAGAAACTTCAATTCCTAAACCATAAATTTTACCTTCTATTCCATTAAAGTAGAAATCTAAAAGTACTTTACTTCATATAATGAAAAATGTTTAATCAGAAAATTAATAAGAAGTATAAATGTATATATTCTTTGAATAGAAAATTAATGATATAGTATACATTTATCGTCAAGTATAAGAATTAAGATCTAGAACATAATAATCTACTCGTTTTATTTAGAAAGTGACAAATAGATATTGTTAAATTAGAAGTTTATTATCTGAATGTGCTAGTATATCTATTTAAAGTTTTAAAAATAAGTAAAAGATTACTAATAAAAATGGTTATGCTAATTCTATTTATTTTGATGTAAGCACTCTAAATAATAGTAAAAATGAAAGTAGCATTATTAAAGAAAGGAAAATATAAAATATTTTATATGATACTTTATAATAAATAATGATTGATCTAATAGATTCATAATAAAAGACTGATTTAAATGGATCATCTATTGCAGATTCGATGTATATTAATACTTTATATTTTAGAATTCGTAATTCAGTAAGTTAAGAATAATTTATGCAATTTACATCAATTTAAATTTTAGGATTGCTTGCCTTATAACCTAGATTATTAACAGAATTATTAGGAATTTTTGATTTAAAATAAAAATAAGTTGGTTTATTGTGTAATAAGACAAGATAGTTGCAAAAATAATTAGATATTCAATGATTCCTCTTAAATTTTTAATAATATAATTTTATTTAAATTGATAATCATTTGAAGAACTGAAGAAGTATATTTTAAATTTTGTTTATTTGTCTACAATAATAAAGAATTTATTTTACTAAATTATACTTCATTTTCTAATTTATTTTTGTATTTTCATTTAGATATCTATCACTTTTAGAATTCATTAAATATAGAATAAGAGAGTATATTTTTAATGTCTGATTATAATATATTTTATATTAATTTAATATTATATAATATATTAAAATGGATTAATAAGAATAATCATTAGGATTACTTGGTGAACTTGATTATAGGTTGATATAATAGATATCTAAATACTTATTGGCAAAGGAAGTATTAAATCTAAGTTTGACAAATTCATTTTTTAGAGACACTTTAATGAAATTCAAAAGAATAGAAGTTTCTTCAGAAAATAAAGTAGTTGTAAAGGATAACAATATTTCGTTATATTTAGAAATGGATATTTCTGAAATATATGATAAAATTGAAGTTATTATGGCCATTGTAGAGACTAAAGATTAAGGCTGGGCTAGTGTATATATATGATATAAAATAAAATAGGCATCATATTCTACATCTTGGGTAACTTTGACATTGTTTAATAATTCAGTAGAATACCAAACACATGGAGTAATGCCATATGAAAAAATAATTTATTAAAATTTTAGAGAAAAGAATTATGCAGAAAGAAAATTAACAATTACAGAAACTATGGCCATGGATAATACTAAAAAATAGTAATATGAGACACTTCTTGGACTTTGTAGGAAGGGGGAATACAAAAAGTTAGGAATAGTATAAAAGTGCCAATATCCTGGGTGGGAATGTTATTTAAAAAGTGGGAAAATCATTGTATGGTATAGAGAATGATAGATTATTATAATTAGGATTGGTTTTCATTAATAAATATTAAAATTTATAATTTTCATTTGTAATTATAAATATATAAATTAAAATATCAATTAACCACTTTTATAAATTATATAAATTAAATAAAATGAGAAAAAAAATGCAGAAGATGCACAGACATAAATTGTTATATGAGGATGTATTGAAATAAGTGGAGAAAGAAGATGTATGATAATTATTAGTATTTAAGGTGGCATTTTTTAGTAAATGTACTAAATTCAGAGATTAACCATCTTAATCAAATACTTTGGATAGAGCTCTTTAATTTTTATGGTTAAAAGAAAAGGTAAAAGATGCTTAATTAAAAGAGTCTTAGAAGATTGATAGAAAGGTAGCATTGTAATTTGGATAGAGAAGAGTATGTAAAATAGACTCTACTTTGAAAC